CCCCATAACCGGACTGCAGCAAACCCACGATCCGTCAACGGGTGTACCGGCAAAAAGCGTGTGGTATAAATGGTTGGCATACAACGCTGATAATACGACGTGTGCGCACTTCTTGTGGGCCGGCTACCTGACTTCCGACGGCAAACAGCTGGGCGAAATGTCAGCCGAATCGGATGGCTATATACCAAGTACGAGTATGACAAAACTTGCATGCTAGAGTAGTTATCTGTACGTCATTTCCGTTTAAAGAGGAAGATCCTCTCATAAAAATAATTAATTGAATGAAATTTAAATTAAACCTTCCAAGAAGTTTTATAACAAAACAAACTTAAAACTTTATCTCACAAACAAAAACAACAAATTAAACACACAAAATTAAACAAGTTTGTTAGATAAAGTTTTATGTTTGTTTTGTTATACGACTCCTTGGAAGATTATCACCGATATGATAATTTGATATGATATAATGTATGCTTTCAGGACCTGATGATTACACCACAATTTTCAATAATTACAACGTCTTCGGCTTGGATTATCAGTGCTCGAAACCGAATTACACGACAGGCATTTGTGATCAGGTGCTATTTTATGTCAACGTCCGAACGCGACCGGATGAGTTGTCGATGGAAGCGATGCAGCAAATCGACGACGCCGTATCGGCGCTACTGAAGCCGTACTGCATGTCATTGAACGATATCCCCAGAAATCCCTGGACGAATACTCTGCCACTTTGTGCCGATGTGCCAATACCCGATTGCTTTCAAAAAAGAATAACGGGATATCAGAATTCAGTGCTTTGACGATCCATTTTTTACTTATGGAGAATAAATTAAATTTTAAAATATTGTAGAACATAATATGCTTTGGCAGGCTGCAGTGCTCCGTGTTGCAGATTGATACACTTAAAAATCCAGAGTAGCACTTAAGATGCCGGGTGAAGTTGTGCAATGGTGACCAACACAATGTCATTATTTTTATTATAAAGTATGCTGTATAGTGTATACATACGTAGAAGCACGTAATACAGAAATATATATTTGTACGTATCAATAATGTTTGCTGCATCAATGTATTATTAATTTTAGCCATGCTGGTTAAGTCTTTCGCGCTGGCATTATATGGTTATTCTTTGAGTGGAGTTTTAAGAACCTGTTTCACACTTTTCTTAGTGCTAACACCGCGAAGTCCATTTTGAAATATGCATAATAGAATGCACTCGTGGCCAACAACACACCGGAGCGACTGCATCTCTGCTAAAAATGAATAATTCTGAAATAAATCTACTGTACAATGTATCTGTAGATACACTTACAGCATGTTTACTGCATTTAACCGATCTGATTGGTGTCTTGTGTTCACTTCCGGAAAACAATGCGATATACCATTTATTGTCTTGGGCAACAAGGAAACTGACCCGATATGTAGCAATGCCACAAATTGGGACATTTTCCTTGTTTTCCAAAACAATAATTGTTACAGTAACACAACAAGCATAATTTGTACGCCAATTCGAATTCAAATAAAACTGATCGCCAGTTTCTCAATAAAGGCAAGATTCACAATATATAACGTACATAAGGTGCTTTGGACGATAGCTATCTTCCAAAGCACCTTCTACTATAGTAGAAGTTTACTATTTACACTAGAAGCTAAAATGCAGATTGATTTCTATTCAATTTCTGCTCGTCTCCGTCGCATATTCTATATAGTTTGTAGATACACAATGTATGTATGTATTTGTATCCGTTCAAATCCAGAGAGATTACTGATATTTAACGGGTCAGGACGTTAAGCCGATCCCCATCCGCCCCTATTTGTTGCTAAATTTCTAAAATTTGGGCGAAATTTGCACAGTGCCTTTGCCATTAAGGTATTAAAAGACTTATGTAGAAAAGAATTTTTTGTTAAAAATGTAAAAATTTTTGCATTTCTTGCAGTTTGACACTCAATGCCGTTTCTACAATACTTTTATTATCTGCGTCTGCGAAGAGAGTGATTCTTCGCTAGGCGCCAGAATTTCTGCAGGTTGATTGTTTTAAATGATGTCAGTAGCGCAAACGCAGACGGAATTCAAGCAAAATACTTATTTTTTCCATTGCAGGCAAAGTGTGGCCAGTACTTGTAATAGTGTTTCTCATTGCAGACTTTCACTTTATCTGCATAATGCATTAGGCATTAACACAAAAGAACTCGTGGGTACCTTAAACAATAAATGCGTTATATGGCGCGATGTTATGACCTGTCCACAATAAAATTGTTCCATTTTACTCTTGAGGGAACGCGCTTGTTTCTTGTCTACAACTGGCAAATGGTCAGCGAGTGCAGTGTTGTATTACCAGGCTTTTCCTATATAAGGCCCTTGCTAAAATTGAATGCGTTCATATGCATTCGATTGGTACTCGCATCCACGGTTCGACATTTTCCTTATTCTACTTACAGATACACATTATTAATTTTAGCGTTGACAGTTTTAAGGGGAGGGCTATGAGATGAAAGTGGGTCTGGGAAAACATGAATAAGTTTAAAACAACTGAAAGAACACTGTTGCTATTGTTATGACTGCAGGCGCAAAAGGTTTGGCTACACAATGGTGTGCTGCGATCTTGTCTGCGCTCTGTCTAGACAGAGCTATTCAAGAAACAAAGAAAAAACTTTGGAATCAAAAGCTGAATGAGAAAGTTTTTTCGAATTAGATGCAATACACATCGTTAAATGTGTTTTAGCCTGGAAAGCTTATATTCTCCAACATGTTAATAAAAATGTTGTTAGTTTACAAAAAATTGAGAAAAACACTTTTGAAAAGTGTTTTTTGAGTTTACTCAAACACGCTTTGTTGGACTACAGCGGAGTGTCGGTATATAAGCTTTCTAGAAAATAACACATTATCTGATGCCCATTTGGAAAGTGTAGGAAGTTTAACAATGAAGTTATCGATTTTTAAAGCCCTTTAACTAGTTTTTGGAAAACGTCAGCTGAATGGAGGGCTTGTTGACTGGACGGCAGCAATGTGTGCCAGAGCCGGCTACCCATGCCCGCGCTGTGCATAAAGAGATCAGACAGGACATAGCTTGCGAGGGAAGAATGGGTTTGCTCCGGCCACAGGACAGTATTTGATGTTCTGTCTGAGATCTTCTGTGGCATATCTGCCATGTGGCTGGCCATGGCTAGCCGATAACATCAGTGCATTTACTGCGCCGCTGCTGACCCGCCTTGCTTTTTAACTGATAACTTGTGATCACAGTATACTATATCTTATCGGGACACACTCTCTGGAAGCCCGAAAATTTTCCTACAAGCTGATGTTAAAATTTGAAACATATTAAACGAAAAGTCATCTCATAGTGGTCCCCTTAAGGGTTGCTGCGTCAATTACGTATTCTACAGACTCTTCGCTTTCAGTTTAGCAGATATTCCAGAATGCAGAAATTTGCGGTAAGTGTAAATCAGATGTTTCACATGGTGTTTTATTTGCGTTACTTCCTACTCTGTACACAAGAAAATGGTTCTGCATTTAATTTCAGCTAATCAGCGCATTGGCTGCATAATAATAAGAATACATAATAGTAATACTGCATAATATTAATAACGATACTGCATAATGATGCTCGTATATGCACATACGGTGACATACCGTACAGTACAGTTTCCAGTGGGCTGTTTATTTTCATAATGTACGACTCTGAAATTTCTGTGTCCATGCACCGTTTTTCTTCCGTTTACTACTGAATTTCTTTAAAGGTCATTCTCCTGTTGGCCTTTGCTGCCGCTGCCTCTGCCCAGTTCTTGGGCGGTTTGGGTGGAATGGGCGGATTTGGAGGCCTAGGTGGATTTGGCGGTATGGGCGGCATTAGCGGTTTGGGTGGCATCGGTGGACTGGGCGGTATGGGCTACGGCGGACTGGGTGGTGGATTAGGCGGTATGGTGGATTCCCCGGCATGGGCATGATGGGCGGTCTAGGCGGTGGTTTAGGCGGACTTCCGATGGCGGGCGGCATCGGTGGACTCCAAGGCGGCCATGGATGGGGCGCTGCCGCTCCCATGGTGGCTGTTGCTCCCGTGCAGACCGCCACCGGATGGGGACGCAAGTAGCCGACTCAGAATCTTATTGCATGTTCTTGTTGTGTTCTTAATACGTGTTGTACCGGTACTGTCGGAATGCAGTCATAAATCATAATTGTATGGAAATCCAGTGTTACCGTAGATGTGCATATTCGTCGGAAAATCCTGCTTATGTTTGCCGTATAGTAAATGACTGATTTTATTCTTATGCGTTTGTTTAATTATTGTGCTTATGGCTTCGTATGTTGAATACCGGAATGATCCTTAAAAATTGTAAAATCCAAAAAATCATAAAATCGTGAAATTGTATGGTGGTAGTTTTACTGAACCCTTTTTCCTTGTTATATACAGTACTGTAAGTACACACTGCGATATGATTATCAGCGGAGAACGAAAACGTAACATACAAAATATTATTTTCCTATTCTTTTACGTGCGACCATAGTCAGTTAGTCAGTCACCATACATACACCGTGGATGAACAGCAGCAACAAGAGCACAGCTAGAAAAAATAATGCTACGTCCGGAAATTATTCAGCAGTTGCTGCACTTTGCCAGCTTCTGCGCGTGTTTGTGATACTCGTAGCTTTGTGTTTGTGAGAGATTTGTGTGATAGCTGATTACAGCCGCGTTGAAACTGCTTTTCAAACATAGCGTAATGCCAGTTATCAGTAATGTTGCTGTTAGTAACTAATATAAACCGGTACAATTGATGCTACGATAGCTACGTAATTACGTTACCGTTTTCAATGGCCACTGATCTCGACTACCTGATCGCTACTCAACGAATTACTGTATTTATTAAGGTATGTGTAATACATATTATGTACATCTACAGCTTTCAGTTCAGATCAGTCGTTTCTCTTCGAACATGCATCATTTTCGACGAATGTTTTGTCTTTTCTTACAAGTCATTTCTTGACCAGTGAAATTTCGAAAAGCACATCACAGTTGTATAGCGCAGGGATTCCAAAAAAGTAGAAATATTTTGAATTTTCGAAAGGTTATGATCCAGTGTTTGCACAGCTGTACAGTCCAGTACTAGTAGAAATACAGTTAGTACAAATATTCCGAGACAATAGAATTCTGTACATCCATAACCATTCCGGCAACGATTTTCTTGACGCATTCGGGCTGTGGTATCAGCGGGCAAAAGGGTTTCTTATCCGTGAAGATCTGCTGGGGAACATCCACCGCCCGCATGCAGTACGGCGCGAGGACACGGTCCACGATGTCGTCAATGTACTGCAGCTCCGCCGGGTTGACTTTATCCGGACGAGCACGCGTAATCACATGGATAACCGGCTGGTCGCACATGCCCGTCACGTAATTGGGCTTCCGGCAGCCGTACATGATGAAAACGCGCTCGTAGTCGAAATACAATCCATACAAATTGGCTTGTGCTGCAATATAATTAATTCATGGGTATCTATCGAATTTTTAACATTATTCAGCGTTTTTTTTATCTATTATGAGTGTTTACTGAAACACTCATAATGTGAGTGTGACTATGCCCGACTGTGAGCGACCTTTTATTTTTAAAGCTTTTTTTCTGACTTTTAGCAGAAGAAATTAAAAAAATATTGGTGATGATTTTATGTGACTAAGTGCTTCAGTTCAACCTTTTTTATTTAATTAAAAACCGCTAGTTTTATGTACTGCGCTTTTAAAAATCACTTGTTTTCATGGATATGCTCAGTTGATTTGTTTTAATTTTACGATTGTTCCTATATGAGATCAAAAGCACTAAGACGTTTCATTATAGCTTTTTAAAGGTCACTTACTGGGAATATAATCAGTGGCAGACTGCGAATTTTGTCCCGGATTTTGGCCATTAACGCCGAACAATCCCAGCCAAAAGCGGGTATCGCACATTGTGTCGTTTATGCTGTCAAACTGAGGAATTTCCACCCAGATGGCCTCTGCGGGGATCGTACTAAACGGCAAACCGGTGCGTCCGATGGGGTAGTACACCAGGTATTGATTGACTGTAACGTTAGGGGCACCCAGTTGACGGTACTTGTACCATAATCCAGTGATCTGCAAATCATTGGCACTTTATGTACTGTACAGTGATACACTGATAATATTTGTAGAATGGTACACTGATAATATTTGTACTCTAATTTTTACGCACAACTTCTAAATAAGAGAAAACGTGTAATATAATATACAAACCGTAAGATTACCATTTCAGGATTGGGATCCGGGGCACTCGGAACAACAAGAGGGAAGCCACATTTTCGCTGATAATAATTGTTCGGCGGTGAATTATAATTGCCTGGGTAGCCAGGAATTTGCGAGAAAACAAGCGGAATCCCTATAAGTTATTTAAATTATCGTCTATTGCACAAAATTGTTATTTTTATCCTTTTAACGCAAAGAGTATATTCAAGATTTCTGTCTTACCGTCAATCACACATTTGCTGAGTGTAAGAGGAAAAGCTAGCTCGATTGCACTATACGTATCTTTTATGCTAGACTCATCGCTTACATAATAATATTTTGATTACTTTTATGCATTTTGTACCTGTGCATGTATAGTAAACGGTGCAGGCTTAGTGCACAAATACTTTGCATGTTAACAAACTGCTATCGCTTTACATATACTTACCGCAAAGTATAACAAATAAATGCATCATTATTTCCCAAATAACTTTTTACGGAATCAAAAATTAAAGCTGAGCCTAATAAAGCCGGATTACTGCTCGTTAATACAGAATATATTAAACCAGTAAGTCGAATTTCCATGCAAATAAAATCGAGGGTTTAACAATCCAGCAAAGAAAACTAAAAGTCATTTGAATAGCTGTGTAATTGGATGTTTATGCAATCAATCGCAGTACTTTAAGGAAGACCGGTTATCGCGTACACCATCAATTCATGTCAAATCGTGGATGCGCAGTTATAAAACAAATGGTATTACATGATCAACGGCAGATGCCAACTGATCACCGGTGAACACTAATTGGTTTGAATTTCCTTTACTTACCAATTTTTTACACGTTGTGTAATGTTTCGACAAAATGAATCCCAGCATTACTGTGTGGATTATGGCAGTGTCCAGCAGAGACAGGCGTCTCTCCAACCGTTACTTAACAATCGCGGAAAAAGTTCATAATTGTATTAAATTTTTCCTGGCTTTTTGGCTTATTTTCTTGCAAATACTCGTATTTATGTATGTTCTTGGGTACATAGTTTTCTGCTGTTTTTATAGAAAGAAGTGTAAATTGTCTACCGTACGAAAAATTACACAAGTAAACAAAGAGACCTTTATCCCAAATATGGCTGTTGTTAGTGATATAGTCTTGTTTTGGATGTTTTTCTGTTTTGGTAAGTTTTGCGGACCTTTTTTTAGTCTTTAATATTATGACGCTAAAATTAAACAAATCCATGAAAGTTTTTACGTGTATCGCATAAGTTCCGCCGCACACTACAAGTTTTATAACTCATTAGGGATTTTTTCTGGAAAACAGGGAATGCACATCTACTACGGCGACCACTCCATTACACAAGTGCATGGTTCGCTGCACACGCATTCACAGGGACGGTGCCGAAATCCATTACACATTTATGCCAATTTGGATCACCAGCCGGAAAAAGTACTGTATTTACAGTTCATCAGTTACAACGAGCAACAACTGTTTACAGTTTTCTTGAAATTGAAGACTTAATGAATGTACCATAATATATTTACCCGGAATTTATTCTTGTCATTAAAGCACTTCATCTTGTAGATGGTTGGCAGATGGTACATGTATCGTCGCCTTCTCCCAGGCCGTCCAGTACATGTGAATCCTTATTGTGACCTTTCTGTCCTGGAATCGACGCCGGACCGTTCCAATAAAATTCCCGCGCAAACGATGACGCTGCATTGCCAGTATTGTACAGCAGTCAATATTAGTTGTACCTGCTACAGGCAAGAAAGCATTGCGGATTACGCCATCGACGGACGGTTGACGGTCAGCGACCGGCCTGCGACATCAATGCATCGACGATTTCTTTCCGGTACTAAAACCCTATCTATGTATAAATATCGCAAAAATTGCACTTTATTTAGGCCTTATTCGTAGCTAAATAATTGAAATAGTAGTTTGTTTTAATTTTTGCAGAGATGCTGGTTCTCTATCACGACTTTAAGCAGCTGGTGGTAATATTTGCATGCAGCAGTGCCGTGGGCGCAACGGAACTGTGTCCGAGTCCCGTCTTCGAAGTGCAGACGCGCATCCGGCCTGATTTGTTATCCGACTACGAGAAGGACTTCTTCGACAATATAGTCGACAGTGTGCTGGCACCCTATGATTTAAGCGCTAGAGATATACCAAAACAAATGTTTTTGAAAACGATACCTGCCTGCTTGAACTTGTGAAAGGTGCATGTTTGTAATTTAAACTTTGTAGTGCTGTAAAATTATACAGTATGCAAATGTTGCACTAAGTATTGTAAATTGTGCACGTCACGAATTACTGATGTCTTTCAAAGATAACGTTCCAGCAAGTTAAACATAGACCGTATCAGTCTACAAAATAATAATAGACAATAAACAACGTACAACCAAATTGAACATACCGATTAATAATTAATTATTAGCACAGTAATTTGTATGTGATACAGCGAAAAAGACGACGGTTTCTAACGGTTTCTAACGGTTTAGTGTTAAAAGATTCTTGCATCCCTGCAATTATGACTTGCACGTGTATACTGTTGGCACTGAATTGAAGTGTCACGAAAAACGCATAAAAATGGATTCGGTTTAAGGTACGTAATAATATTATGTACTCTAGTTTGTCATGCCATGATTAATGCGATTCGATTGAATGAGAGCACATCTGGGCAAAATTAATGGTCATTAACTGCTTCACAAATTACATGTAATCGCACTCGTACGCAGATACACCATAATTATAAACTTCGTAGATATACAGATCACGAGATTAGTTGCTTTTACCCCTAATACCAACAGAAAATAGATAATTTGCAGTACATCTACAGCTGAAGAAACCAGGAACTTAGTCTGTTGTTCAAAGTCAGCCAGTGTGTTGTTTCCTTACGCAAAGTTGTATGGACACCCGTTGCATGGTTATGACTACCCGAACTGTCATCCTGTACAGTCTTGTACATGTAACATGTCGGCTTTCTTTCTTAAAACTGGACATTTTGTACACAATTTGCATGAACCCATACAGTAGATAAACAGTGGGCGTGTACAATTAGAAACCATGATCCGCTGCCCGCTTAAGACACCTCGAACCTTAGTTACTGCTGACATTATTGATCTCGTTCATCTCAGCCATGATGTAGGACTGCGCGCAGCCGGTAGCGGAGAAATCCACCGGCGTACAGAACGGCTTACTATCGGTAAACATCTGCTGCTGAACATCTACCGCGGAAAAACAGAACGGTGCCAAGATGGAATCCACAATGTCGTCGATGGCTTTCAGTTGGTCCGCAGTCATCTGATCCGGCCGCTGCCGGGTGATGACGTGGAAACCCGGGCGGTCGCACATGCCGGTTTTATAGTTGGCGCCCCGACACAGATAGGTCACGTAGAAACTATCAATATCCAGATACAGCAGGTTGAAATCCGTGGTCGCTAAAACAGTTTCAAAATAAGTTGTAAGACGGACGTATTCTTGAGGCAGAAAAATTACCGGGATTGAAGTTGTCGGAAGATGAAAAGCTCTTCGTGGGTATTTGACCGTTTACCCCGAACAGACCGACGGAAATACGGTGAACACATGCGGTATCATTGGGATTATTGTACTGCTCGATGCGGATGACCATTCCCGTGGCACTGGTGGTGCTGAAGGATAAACCGGTGCGGTTCAGCGGCGTATGGTCCAGGAGCTGATTGGTGGTGTTGACGTTGGATTGACGGTATTTGTACCATCTTCCGGCAAACTACAATTCAAAGGATTCGTAATGAATAATGCGTTAGTCATCACTTTTATCATCAGTCCCTATGCAAATTATTTAATTTCATTCATGATTATATCATTATTATATATAATCCCCACGCGCAGGCGTATGTATTCAACGAGCGGTTTTCCAGGGGTTATATCTTTCCGATGCTAAGAAACCCTTGTGGAAGTAAGTATTGCTTTCCGTATAGGAATAAAAGGGTTTTCGAAGAAAAAAATAAATTGATTAAAATCTTTTATAAATTGATTAAAATCTTCTTTTATAAATTGATTAAAATTCCGAGCACCATATCAAGAAATTGTTACACGAGACTGCTGGCACTATTAGAAGCATCCTTTTTGTTTTTGTAATTGATCTGGGCTTCTGTTCGGGTAGATTGTGCAATTTTTCGTAAGGCAGGGGTCTGTATTAATCGGAGAAAGCCTTTAAATGCGAGAGGGTCAGTGAATGATAAGAAATGACGGTATGTATTATTATTAGTACATCAGTAATATTCCTGATAAAAATGGTGAATTTTAATTTTACGAGTATTTTACCAAACGTTACCTGGTGATCGCTGCACGTACCCGCGAGGCGTCAGGGATAGGCACCGTATTGACCGCAATGGGAATACCGCAACCCTTTATGCTACTGGACGGCAACGACTGCTGGGCGTATAGCTGACCTTGCGCGATGACCAGGAGAATGGTCAGCCCGACTGCAGCGTCAAGACAATCACACAAATAAATTTATTCGTAAGAAATCATACAACTCACAGTTTACGCTTAAGCCGGCTTACCCGCAATATACGTCTGCTTTTCTGTCATTCTCAGTCAAAGAAAAATGAGAGTACAGAGTATCACAGACATACTCACAACGGTTCTAGTAAGTATAAAATACCTTCCGCGATGATAATAATATCATGTCGGCTGCAAAACTGCAAACGAACCATAAGCATTCTTCTAAGAGATCAAAGAACATAATGTGTTATTGCATGATCATCAATAAATTATCAAGCACCACGTTCATGGTCATTCTGGAGAGAGAAAAACATTTATTATCCGCGATAATCCTGCCAGAGTACATTGTTGGACCATGACTTTCGCCTATGCTCTGCTGAACAAAGTGGAGGGTTACCACAAGTGCTCTTATTGTTATGCACATGTTCTGTCTGAGTAATACAATCGGTGCTGGAAAATATTGTGCTGAGACTGCTGAGTTGTATATTGTATTGTTTGCTTACCTGCGTTCGCGCATTTTTTATTCTGTTCTTATACGACGTTTGTCAATATTTCATTATTTTAACAAATTGCTTTTCCAAACCTGAGCGACAACCCAGTGTGTGACAGGAGGACAAATTTACTCGTATCTAATTCTACAATGTGTACTAACAAGTCAAATTTCATCTGTCAAAACTTAATTTTGGCTCTGATTGTGTAACTATAGACACACATGTAGTCGTATGTTATACTCTTCAACAAAGACAGTGCGGCAATTTCATCGCGTTGACGGCGTCAACTTGACGCCCACTGCTCATACCCAGTGTATATATTGCCGTATTATACCGGCACACATTCTTCTAGGTTTATTTACCAATATTTTAAACCAATGGTTCAATGGTTCATTTACAAGTATGTACGATGTATCATTTAAAATTAAAGGTGACCACTCCGTACAGACCCTTTCACTACCTTTTACCCCGTGCACAACCTTTGTGCACTGAATAAGGTCACTTCTGGTTTGCCAATTCCTACCAAAACGGTTTGCCGTAAATGAGATTGATGCACGGAGGAGGTAAGTGTAGCCCCGTGTCCAGGCTTGGCACTGAAGGTCAGTCTAATCGGATTGTAACATGTCACCGTTTACCGGAAACTCGATTGCACAGCAACAAGGTTACAGCTCCGGTCGCACGTTCACGATAGCTATTGCCGTACAGTAACTGCTATTACGTTCATACAGGACAGTGAAAGTCACAGAATCATTTGAAGTGCCGAATAAAAACGCATGCGAATAACGGAAGATATTATCTTCCTAGATACAAACAACTGTGCACCTAGTTACTAATAGTGTTTGCGACATCATTCGTGAGACCAGTTATGGCCCCTTGAATACAGGGAGGAATGTTGTCCAAGAGGGGACAGTACGATACGCTGTTGTTGTGGGCCTGCAGAGGAATATCCGCCTTCGAAATACAGTAGGGACCCAGTATGGAATCGATGATATCATCAATGGATTTACTCTGGGCAGCGGTCAAAAGATCCGGGCGGGTGCGGGTGACGACACCGAAGGAGGGACTGTCGCACATACCGGTCTTGTAGTTGGGCTTGACGCATACGTACACAACATAGAAATCATCAGGATCCCCGTATAGCAAGCTGAAATCGCTGGCAGCTAAAAAGGAATCAGCCAACACGAATGCATTTTAGGTGGTTTTATACACTTTTCTGTATTAAAGCCGTGTATAACAAAGACCCATTGCCACTGCCAGTGGTCTGCTGGCAGTATTTCGAATATATAACAATTCCTTTGTTTACGGCTCAGTGCTTAGCTGATGGTGAGAAAAAGTCAGGAAATTCCTATCACTGCCATTTGAAATTTTCAGAAGCAGCTTTCACAAGGAGACATCGCAAAATTGAACGACATACTTATGGTACGAGTATACCGTGTCTTTGTACTGACAACAAATTTTGTATTTGATTTTAGGTCTTTGCCATAAAACGTTTTCTAGACTATTTTATATTATGGCAGTTAGTACGTACTTACAAGGGACGTAGCCATCTACGGATGAATAAGCTTTTCCGAGGCACTGTCCATTTACGGCACACATGCCGACAAAATAGCGGTTAACGCACTGAGTATCGTTGGGGCTGTTATACTGTGCTATTTGAAGATATAATGCCACTGCCACCGTATTGCTGAATGGAAGTGCAGTGCGGCTGTTCAGCGTCACATGCTTGAAGATTTGATTAACAGTATAGGAGCCGGTTTGCCGATACATGTACCAGGTCCCGACGTACTGCAAAAGTGTAAACGATGCACCAATTTTGGATTAGCATTACCGGATAGGTTCCCGATAAACAAAAGGAGGTGACCATAGCTGTAGCGGTAGCGCACCCTTACCTGGTACCCGTTGGATGGTCCGTTTGCGCGAAGTTTTCGCGTGCAAGACATTGCGGCACGATATATTATGGTCAAATTCGTTCAACGCCGCACTTAAATAAGCTGGTGGGAATCTAATTAAACCGCACGGTGGCAGTGTAGCCGGGACATGTCAGGTGCATGGGGTCATTTTAGTGCGCTGCTACTTTACTTCAAAAGTAACTTTTCTGCTGTTTCAGTTTACTGCATTACGTGGTACATGCGTACCTTCAGGGGATCGGGATTGTTCACGGTGTTGACGACGACGGGAATGCCGCAACCTTTGAATGTCGCACATGTCGATTGCTGCTGTCCTTGAGTCAGAGCCAGAAGAGCAGAAATTTTTGCTACAAAACATTAACGAGCTGAATTTATGTAAGATATCATCAAGCGTTTTCCAATCGTCCGATATGATTCCGCTGGTCTCCTACCCAATATACAGTAGTAGCGCGACATCCTCTTATTAACCACAAGCATGAAAATTACGGAAAAAGGCACTAATGATCGACAAGCAACACAAATTTGCCAAAAAGTTTCGCCGGTTTTCATACGCTAACCAATTAGAACTACAGCCGTGTTTGCCGATGGAAAATGATCTTCGAAGATAAGGACAGTGAGGACGTTCGCAGCAACGGTACAACGCACAGAACTGAAGCTGTTGCATTCTCCTAATGCATTAAATATCTAAATGGCATCGCACTCATTAATTGTGCCATGTCTCTGCTAAGTTAACTAGCTGAATAATCTGTACGACTACGCGTTGTTTTTTGTAACGAAGCACTTTAATGTGGTCAGGTGAGTGGGTAGCGTTGCCGTCTTAATTGATATTTGTATTTAACCAACCGTACGCGTCGAAATTCACCCTACAAAACTCCATCCAGATAATCGCCAACCCATATGACTGGCGAGATTGCTTATGTTGGATACGCTTAAATATCACTCTTAAATATCAGTTAATATCTTAAATATCTTAATTATCGCTTTTGTGCATCAAGCCTGATAGAGCCTAATCGAACAAAAATGGAAATTATGAAATGACTGTATGTACTGCGCGTGTTCATGATAAAAGCACAGCAGGCAGTTTCGGAAATTTCATTTCTGCTTTTGCGGAGATGGCGTAAACCGTGTCGACCGTTGCAGTTTTCAAGCAACAACAAAATCAAACATACCATCAATCATTCAACCTCACGTTGGTGACACGATGAATCTTGACGGGAACGTCAACTGTCATTACGAACTGTAGGAAGATCCCGGCGGTATGATGACCGTGGACACTACTCTAGCCTATTCATGGTTAACGGATATCCTGACGAGGTTGCCCGCTTGTCATGTCTTACTGTCAAATTGTCAATGTTGTGCAAGTTGGTATGCAAGCTTGTGGACTTGCCCTTTTGTCCTAGCTTTCCCACTAGAGATAACAGGCGAGTAGCTTTTCGGAAAAAAAAAACTGCTTCCCTGTACAGAAGCGCTGCAAAATTTTTTTTATGTTCTGGCTTGATTTAAGGAACAAACTCAGTCATCACCAAACAAAGGACGAGAGAGTAGCGAGTGAAAGTCGAAAAGCAAGAAAACCTACGTCAGGTATCGCAGTAATATATATATAACCTATACCGGTGCGGTGACTACAAAGCCTTAACGGCAGTTGCAATCAGCTATAGACTTTTAAAAAATTAAAACTGATTTAACGTCCGACATAATTTACAATAGCCTGCGGTTTCACACTGCATATAACACAGATGCGCCGACTAGTTGCTGATAGTATTTGCGACCTCATTTGTGAGGCCTGTCACAACCCCTTGAATACAGGGAGGAAGGTCATCCAAGAAAGGACAGTATGGTACACTGGAGTTGTGGGCTTGCAGGGGAATATCCGCCGTCGAAATACAGTAGGGACCCAGTATGGCATCGATGGTATCATCAATGGATTTACTCTGGGCAGTGGTCAAATAATCCGGCCTTGTGCGGGTGACGACATGGAAGGAGGGACTGTCGCACATACCGGTCTTGTGGTTGGGCTTATCGCATACGTACACAACATAGAAATCATCAGGGTCCCCGTACAGCAGGCTGAAATCGACGGCAGCTAAGAAGGAATCAGCGAAAAGGATTACACTTCCATATACGTAGATATATGATACATCGCTCAGTTTCTGTACTACAGCAGTTTACAAAAAAGAACCAATGCCTGTACTTTTCTGGCAATTATTTCGTCTAACAAAATGAATCGAACATAAGGCTATCCTTTTTTTGTTGCTCAGTGTTGGGCAATGTTAAGTAAGTCAGCAAATTCCTATCGCTGCCATGTGAAATTGTCAGAAGCAGTCTTCGCAAAGTGCTTGCATGAAATAATTAGGGCATACCGTGTACTAGCACTGATAACAAATTTTGTATTTTTGAATTAAGACCTATACAAAAGACTTTTTTAGCATTTTCTAGCTTATTTTATAGAAGTATGGCACTTACAAGGGATGTAGCCATCCACGGATGAATACATTTTTCCAGGGCACTGTCCGCTTACGACACACATACCGACAAAGAAGCGGTGAACGCACTGAGTATCACTGGCGCTGCTATACTGTGCTATTTGAAGATATAATGCCACTGCCGGCGTATTGCTGTATGGAAGTGCGGTGCGCGTTTTCATCGTCACATGCTTGAAGATTGGATTAACGGTGTAAGCGCCGGTTTGCCGGTACGTGTACCAAGTCCCGGCGAACTGTAAAAGCGTTAGCGATGCATAATTTTGAATTAACATGTTTTGAATGTCTAAAGGTTCCTGATTAAAGGTTACAAAGTGTACCCATAGCGGCGGTGATAGCGCACCCTTAAGCAAAGGACTGGAGCAGGACGGTGTGGGAGGATGTACGAGTTAATACGTTATAGCAACGATACAAGTAGGCTAGCGAGCATCAACTTCATCCGCACGGTCGCACTTTAGCTGGGATATGGCAGTTGTATGGTATCACTTAAGTGCACTTTTGCCTTACTTGTCTGCTGTTTTTTGGTTGATTCCGTAGTACATGCGTACCTTCAGGGGATCGGGATTGTTCACGGTGTTGACGACGACGGGAATGCCGCAACCTTTGAATGTTGCACATGTCGATTGCTGTTGTCCCTCAGTCGCAGCCAGAAGAGCAGATATTCCTGCTACAAGAAAATTAAAAAGCTGAATTTAAACAACAGTTGCAGACGTTTTAAAACAAAACAATATCACCCTATATAATTCGATTGCTCACCTACCCAGTATACAGCAGTAGCGCGACATCCTCTTAAGCACAAGCATGAAAATTATGGTAAAGATAACTATGATCGGCATTCGGCATGCAACAGAAATTTGCCAACAAATTTTGCCGTGTATCATAATTATATATATATCATTAGCTGTGCCATTTCGGAGTTTCTCTGCCGAGATAACGAGCTTAATTATCGTTAGTATTCGTTACCCGTTGTTTTTTTTGTAACGAAGCGCTTTAATGTGATGAGAATCGTGCTTAGCGATTGATGCCTTCTTAATTGGTAATTATCTTTAACGAACTGTGAAAAACAGCAGTCATCGATCGGTGTAAGCGCAAAAGCGCCTACCCCGAATACAGTCTGTATGTGGAATATTCTTATGTGGAATATTCTTAAAAATCACTTTAACCTCTCTTAGGTTAACAAAGCCTAATCGAACAGAAATAAAATGGTGCATCCGTGCACGTACTGTGATTGTACGTGTGAGTGTATACAGTATTGTAAAAGCGCAGTGCAACCCGTTCCGAAAATTTTGTTCCTGATTTTGCGAACACTGCGTTAACCACGTGGACTGTTTTACCATGGTCAGTTGCTGAACAAAGGCAAAAGCATAACATAGCATGAACTTCACATGTGGTGACACGCACAGACTGCATAGTAGTAGTCACATACCCACAGTGCCAAAATGTTTATTTTAAGAAATTAACAAAAAAATACTTGTAGCTTTATTGCGCATACAAACTAACGAAACCAATAAATGTTCACAATAGTATAAATGTATCGAAATTAGTGTCAGTGTATTTGTCAGAAACTGAGGAGTTAAATGGCAGAGTTGTCGCCGACGCACATTGGTATCATACAGAATCGTCTTGCAGTATTATGTATATATACTTTCTTCACTTAAATTAAAACTTACAGAAGCACAGCTTAAATTAATTCGGTGGCATTTATCGCGCCCTTAATTGCATTTCGTCTTCCGGCCGTGCACAAAATTATAAGTCTCTAATTGCTGGTAGCATTTCTGACATCGTTCATTAGGCCGGTTATGTCCCGTTGGACGCAAGGAGGAAAGTCGATAAATGGACAATACGGCTTGCTGTCGGTGTGGGCCTGCTGCGGAATATCGGCCGCCGAGAAGCAGTAGGGAGTCAGGATGGCATCGGTAATATCATCCATGGCTTTCACCTGGTCAGCGGTCAGCTTATCCGGACGATTGCGGGTAATGACATGGAAGGAAGGCCGATCGCACATCCCGGTTTTGTAGTTGGGACCACCACACGCGTACACAATGTAGAAATTGTCAATGTCCAGGTACAACATGTTGAAATCGTTGTTAACTAAAACAGGACGCAGATAAGCTAGCAGGATGTATGATTAAGGCAGGTGATGATCCCTTAAAGCAGTTCACTAAATTTTTTCACTACAAAGCGTTAACAGAAAGCGTGGTGACCATTCTAGAGGTCACGGCACGCCATTCAGTCTAGAGGTCACGGCACGGATTAAGGTTTTGCGACGGTTAGGAAACGACGTGAATAACTACGCAGTGTAACATTGAACAGTTAAGACTTAAGGGGTATGGCACTTACTGGGAACATAATCATCCACGGACGAAAGACCTTTTCCCGGGCACTGTCCATTCGTGCCGCACACGCCGATATAGAAACGGTTAATGCACTGCGTGTCGCTGACACTGTTATATTGCTCAATGTGGATATATGTTCCCACTGCCGACGTCAGGGTGAACGGAAGGCCGGTGCGGTTGAGAGCAACATGGTTGAAGATTTGATTGACGGTGGCGGCACCTGTGTGTCTGTGCTTGTACCATGTTCCGGCTAACTAGAAAGGAATGGTCACAAGATATTTCATACCTCTGAATTAATTATTAAACACCGCCGTACGGAGTGCAAAATTATGACGCAGCTAGCCACATGCGATAAATCGCTGTATACAGCAATAAAGAAGCGATTTATCAGTATCCTAGCGTTAGGTTTGCAAATAAGTCACATCTACAGATACTATACAGATACTATACTAAGAATAACCTAAGAATAACCTAAAGAGCCAAAGGAAATTTCGTCACCATGGAGGAAAAGGATGCGGCGGCAACCTAAACTAAGTGAGCCACAAATTGGAAGCTCAGCCACAGCGTTAGCTCCAGAAATATGACTAAGGTCTCAATATATTTTGAACTCAGCTCATGTGCCTAACATGGCGTGGTGTACGGACGTTTGCTGGTTTCACTGGGCTTGCATAAGGATCGTAGTGCATCGGCTCAAAAACGACGTCAATTACGTACTGGAATAGCCGGCTGTTTAAAGCAGAGATACCTTAAGATTCTCTTGTCAGTTTTTTTTAACCTTAGGAGGAGCGAAGAAAACTGCGAAGATTGCGGCAGTGTCTTCCCCGACTTCGTGTCGCACGTAATATACAGTATGTCGCACCGACACATGGCTTATATCAAGTGCTGTAGTCAAGTGGGCGAGCTTCATGTTTCTCCATTACCTCGCTTGCTTTTATACGTTTGTTGTTTGTACTAGCTCTTCTATTTTTAGGAGGAACTTGAGTGTCGCTAACCGGTGATGTTAATTACGTACCCGAGCAGGGTCGGGAATAGGCACAGTATTGACGACGATGGGAATGCCGCAACCTTTCGCAGTCGATTGCTGTTGGCTATAGTCTCCCTGGACAATGACCAGAAGAAAAGACAGTCCCGCTGAAACATCGACCAACAAAAATTTAATCAAAGTTAAATTAGAGGATGCGTTCGACTTTACCTACCAACCATGCAAGAGCGTCGCGCCATTGTTTAGTTATCGGCTAAAGTTAATTAGTTTCGTTAATGAACGAAGAAAGACTCAGTTAAACGATGCGGTCAACATGGTTGTAAGGACTGCAATGAAACCGTTAAAGTTTAAAATCAGTCATATTTGTACGATAAATCAGGGTAATTTCGAACGCTTTTCTGATTACGTTATACTTAATAAAAACGTTTTGTCATCAGTATTTAAGAACTGAGAACTCGAAGGTCAGATCAAAGATAAACCTAGTAAGAACGTTCGTTTCACGGTGCAATGGACCACACCATTAAAATATTTGTACGCTAATGCATTTTACGTGCAGAAGCAGAATCAGGCTCATTAAGATCGTCTTTAATACATTGCTACGACGTAATGCAGTGCACAAAATGTATTTAGAAATTTAGAATAAATCAGTTAAGGTAGTACAAACTTAGGTAATAATGCTGGAGCGCATTTGGGTCAATGTTTGGTAACCATTTTAAGCGCACCGCAGCTATTTGTACAAAAACAATTAGCAAACCCATTTTGTCAATCACTTCGATGCTTCCATCACAGAGTAACGCGCAATATGTAAACAGCGTACTCAGTGCTCCGCAGCAAAACAGTGCAAACGCACTGCATTTTCGTACCATAATTACCAAATTTATACCTCCCACCGCATTAACCCTGGCCGTGTTAAACCATTTATCTGAAATACAAATGTATAAAGGCACCCTCACCGCGAAGTTGCTGCAAATGGTGCCGTTTATAGCCAGTAAGCACAACTCAGAAAATCAAAGCTTTGTTAAAATTGCGAACTCGTAATAAATAATCTCAGTAATGTTTGAGGAACAAAAAAAATATAAAACAATGTTAAAAATAATAACTTGAGTGTCAGCAGGCATTATGTGATCACCATGTGAGAACTTTGTTTTTCGTGCAATGGGTTGAGAGATTCTAGCGCCACACCAGATTTACTTACATTCTACTAAACCGGCAAAATGCAGTTGTACTTTCGGTTTGTAATAACTTGACATACAGTAGTGACCTTTTACATTATTTACATATACAGACAGTTTGTGTGACATTTCACGAACAAAGGTCACCTTTGTGCAGCAAACATTACCACACTGACCAGCTTAACGTCATAATAAATTATCAGTACATATGCGTATAAGCATTACTAGTACAAGGAAATGCGGGTATGCACAAGACGGGCCGTCGAAAAATGGCCACACCGTCGCAACTGCGTCAGTCCTCAGTTACTGGTTGAGTTGCCGATGTCCTGCATGAGAGCCGTTACAGACTTGAGCGCACATCCCGCGGCGGCATATTCCGTCGGTGTGCAAAAGGGTTTATTGTCAGTGAACATCTGCTGCTGAACATCCGCTGAGGAGAAACAGAAGGGCGCCAAAGCCGCGTCGACGATGTTGTCGATGGCTTGCAGCTGGTCCGCCGTCATTTTATCGGGGCGGTTTCGTGTTAGCACGTGGAAAGCTGGTTTATCACACATGCCCGTCTTGTAGTTGGGACCACGGCAGATGAAGACCAGGTAAAAGGTGTCGATGTCCAGATACAGGATGTTAAGATCACTGGCAGCTGCAGAATGGAAATTAAGGAGAATCAACAATTGTTCTTGTACTTACAACATACTGTATTTTATTTTTGTGCCATCGTAATGTCATTCACACAACAAACGACACTAAAAAAATATAGGTACTCTCGATTTTTTATGCTTTTCTGCTTAATCGCCAACGGCTAGCGCTTCACTGGCCTGACGACTGCCGAGCCAAGCGAAGGTTTATTTTTATAAGTTTTAATTCACACGCTGGATGGTCCGTTTCTATTGCAGAGTGACGTAAGCGCATGCTAACTACCTGGCGCGTAGCCGTCGACCGACGAAAGGCCTTTCCCGGACATTGTCCGTTGACCCCGTACAAAGAGACCAGAAAACGGTGCACACATTCCACATCATTCGGATTATTATACTGTTCAATTCGTAGAATCATTCCCGTAGCGGAAATGGTGGAGAACGGAATACCGCTGCGGTTTAGCGGGACATGATCCAGGAACTGGTTGGTAGTGTTGACACCGGTATGCCGGTATTTATACCATCGGCCGGCAAACTGAAATGTACGAACATTTTATTATTGTGAGAACTTGATATTCAATTACTTGCAATACAATGTACACAATTACGCGAGACGCATCCGGAACGGGCACCGTATTGACTACGATGGGAATGCCGCATCCTTTGGCGCTGGATGCCGGGGATTGCGCATACTGTCCCTGCGCAATGACCAGCGCCACGAATAATCCCACTGCGAAGTGTATATGTTGATTGCTGTGCTTCTGCTAACTGTCGCAATTTTTTGCATTAAATATATTTTGCGGGAATTATGGATTCATCAGAAAAATAATTGTTGCAGAACATTTTACCCGCACTGAACCATACTAATACAACTTTATTATTTTTTGACAAAGAAGTCTCGCATGACAAAACGCCAGACTTTGAGTGCACTGCTGCAATAATTCAAAATTTTATGGGTTTTATTCATTAGAAAAGAAGTAATAACTAATCAGTAGTTTTTTTAGGTGCATACGCAAACGTTTTAACAGCTGACATGGGACAAGAACTGAAGTAATTTAGGCAGTTTAATTTCTTACCGATAAGGAGACTTCCGGTTATCATCTTTGCAAAAGCAAAAGTTTTAGCAGTAATAATACTAGTTGAGCGTTGCAAACAAGCGTAAAAAACGTAAGCGGTCAAACGTAAACGTTGCAAACAAACGTAAGCGGTCAGCAAGAATAGTCAAACATGCACCCTTTGAGTAAATGATGGACTTGGTTTGCGAAAGATCAAGGAACGTTATTCGTTCGCATTGCACACGGTTATAGTCACATCCACAAGAATAAAAATTTATTAAGTTTAATATGGAAAATTACGTCACATTAATGAATTAATGGCTTCCACGTTTGTAAAAACAGCGCCGTTGTTAAGTGATTTATTACATGCTGTCGATCAGTCCGCAGTTCTACGACAGTACACCTTGTATAGCGTTGAAAGTATGAGTGTAGAAAATCAACAAAGACTGTCTTTTTAAACTGTGCAGAGCGTCCATTTTTAATTTCTGCCAACTGTTTCCAAATGTCTTTTTACTCCTGGTATCGAATAATTATAAAGAGAGTAATTTTTCTAGTATTATTTACGTTTCATGGCATTCGTGGTGGTTGCTGTAATTATATACTACATAAAATTCTGATTTTAACAATTACTACGTATTAACATCGAAATTTGTTATCATTTATTATAACATTTACTATTACAAAGAAACATTAACATTCTGCTAACATTATTACCATTTTAACGAGTACTGCCTGATTTTAACTAATACCTGAAATTATTGCACCTCGCGTCCATTACGAAACTTAAAATGATTTATTGGTGACTAATTAGAAAATCATTAAGACAAATAAGCGAGCCACAAGTCCTTAATTTAAGCATCGGTCTTGCTCGTTGACCAGCTCGGCCGTTGCAAGATACATGTTCGAATAGTTAAGAAACTACTGAAATAAATTCAGTCAGTACAAGCATCACTTTGACTAAAGCAGTATTTGCTGGGTAAACATCCGGTACACAGTCAAGTTCGCCGTTCGTTGATGAGGAATAATCAGACGCATCAATCAGACCGGTATACGGTACAGAAATAATAATAATCATAAGCTGTGTAGAAACGTTACTGAACCGTTTGACAGGGCTTCTCAACTCCGCTGTGTCAGTTGACACAAATACGAAGTGACAATACATGTTTTATCATAAACAGTTTCGACTTTTGACAGCTTGAAGTTTGCAATATATGTATGATATTTTAACTGTATACTGTACGCTGGGTCATGGCATTTAATATAATAATTTACCATGTCGTTTTTCGATTTTATTTCTTTTTTTGGGTTTTACATTTCACAGTTTATGGGGGTCAGTCGGGAATTCAAAATACAAAGCAACAAGCCAAAAACAGCCGATTAATATGGCTAACATTCGATTAAATTTCTTATAAAACGGTTACAAGCATTGTGCAAATTACAAGTAATCTCAGATTCTCAGACAATTATGACTGTGATTCTGACAATACCGGTACAATAAGTGTTAACAACAGAAAGGAGAACAAAAACATTAGATTCGATTCAAAATCTACTACTTGCGTCCCCATCCGGTGGAAGTCTGCAGAGGGGCAGCGGCCACCAAGGGGGCGGCTGCGCCCCATCCACTGCCGCCCTGGAGTCCACCGATTCCACCGCCCATCGGGAATCCGCCGAGACCGCCCATGCCCATTCCACCATAGCCCATACCGCCTAATCCACCCATGCCACCGAATCCTCCAAGGCCACCCATGCCCATGCCGCCTAATCCACCAAATCCGCCTAAACCGCCCATGCCCATTCCGCCTAAACCGCCCATGCCCATTCCGCCTAAACCACCCATGCCCATTCCGCCTAAACCGCCCATCATGCCCATTCCACCAAGACCGCCCATGCCGCCAAATCCGCCCAAACCGCCCATGCCACCGAAGCCGCCCATTCCACCCAGACCGCCGAAGAACTGAGCGGAGGCGACGGCGACGCAGGCCAACAGCAAGATGACCTTTAAAGAAATTCACTGTTAAACTGTAGGGATGGACAAAAGGTTAACTTCCATAATTTAAAGGTTACTCGTTAATTTTATTGAAAACAAGGATAATGTAGTAAAAGGAAAAATACGAGGTTGCTTGCTACAGTGCGCATTAAAATAAGACTTGACGCAGAAAAAGAAAGATTACTTCATCATTAATTATATAATTATATATTGTTATATCAGTAAATAAAAATTTTATATTACGTCTTTTGCTGTGTGAGAGAAATGGTTTTGAAACTACCAGGTACACTAAACCAGGGTAATGGCAGATGACCACGGTAATATGGCGTAAAGCGTTTAATTGCGACTTACCGCAAATGTCTGCATTCTGGAATAGATGGTAAAACTGAAAGCGAATAGACTGGAAAGTGGAAACACGAGCTGCAAGCGCTATAAAAACTGTAAGGTCCAAAAAACGCTATAGTAAAAAAAGGCCGAAGACTGGATGTGATGGGTTAAAGTATTTTCACTTTCAGTTTTAGCATGGGCTTTATATAGGAACGACTGGCAACTAACAGTGCACTACTACCTACCAATGGCCAGTTGAGTATGATGGAAGAAACGCGTCGCAGGCGGAAACTGGAACAATTCCATACGCTGGACAGTGGACACTTGACAGCATCGCGTCATACAGAATATCCATGGTTTAGAATGCCCAGATTGTTTCTGTGCAAGTGTTTATAGAGAGCTGCCACTCTACAGCAGAACGGCTTTGACCTGCATTATTTTTACGCTATCATTTTTCTGTTTTGTTGTTATGATAGACAACTTTCACTGCACTCTGGATGCTGCAAAGAAACTATTGAGGCTTGAGCTACTGACACGATTTACAACAATAGACCTGCTGCAATTCTGGCGCCTATGGATGCGCCATTATTCCTTAGCGCAGGCAACCGATAATAACTTAAAAAATGGTGCAAAGAAAATACCACGGATAGAATTAATTAAAACTCTTACCTGATAATATTAACTGCAATGTATTTCAAGCAGTCTTAGCCATAATGGAATAACATATTACTCATTACAGGCTGATATCTGGAGGCGGTGGTGGCGCAACAATACAGATTACACTACAACAGGTTGATGCAAAAATTTAAAAAAAAATAAAAAAAATATATTCAAGTGAAGCCGCGGTATTTTTTATTAATGTTGCTTGCTAGGCCGGTGCAATACTTGCACTTGTATTTTATTCAGTACTTTCAAATAAACATTATTTTAATAGGGAAAAACGGGATCCTCGCGTGACCTTTATAAAACTGATTTTCTGCAGATTGTAATGACAATGAGCAATAACGCTAAAGCGCGTGCAACAACCGTGAGGGCTTGGGATTTTCTCGGCAGATAATATTAGTGGCAACCCCAGCTATCCATAATACTCGTCAAGACGCATTTATTTTTACGCATCTGTTTCACATCACGTTTTGTAATCGTTTTGTAATTAAAGTTTGCGTTTACTCGCTAACTTGTTTTAACGATGTCTTAACCATGTCCGCCAGCGAATCGCCTGCCTTTCCTGTTTGCGTACGGTGTGCAAACTGCCATTTACCTACGGACTACCTAACCGTCAGTTCTATCTCATGCTAGCCTACTTGCATTTATCGAATTGGTGTTTTTCGGCTTGTGCGAGCCTTTTGCCTGTTATCCTCGTTTTTGTGTTGTCAGAGTCGGATGTTGATCATTGAAAGTTAACGTTGGTAATCTTCTGTTACCCGCCTTCCCAACCCTTAAGCAATTAAGTTTTGTTTTGCTGTCTTCGTCAGTTATATGAGCACCAGTGTGAAACTCATTAAAGGTCATCTCTCACTCGCGCTGCTCTCTCGCTATGGTACGCACAGAACCGCACCGGAAGGCAGCCGCAACATCCTGGCCACGTATCAGGATCCATCTCACTCCCTGGCCACGAATCAGGTGTCTTCGAAACCCTGGCCACGAATCAGGGGGTCACCTGGCCACGCACCAGGTGGCACTGCTCACAATAACACGTATACGCTCCTTCCGGTGGCCGAGCATGTTCTGACGTTTTCCACGAGACTCCGCGGCCGAGCCGAGGCTGGCCATATGCCCCAAAACCATGTCGGCGTTTCTCGAATACATCGTTAATACTTATACATGTATACTATATTTTGCCGAGATCGTGGGTATTATCGTGAACAATAATTGGTCAATGAGTAATTCACAGATACAGTGGAGATTTGTTAGTAGCCTTACATCCTCCAAATAGGAAATTAATGCACACTTTTTCCAGTTTGCAAATACATTTGTACATAATTCAATCAAACACTTCCGCAGAGTATATTTGGTTAGCTGTGCACGTTAATTTACTATGCAATTTTATTGCGTTTCCACATTTTGGTAAGATAGTATAAAAATTATGGATGTTGTTTTGACATGAAAATGCTACGCCCTTACAAGGTCATAAAAATTAGGGCGACGCAAAATGTATGGGTCATACAGGCTACAGCCCCGTTCTCACACTTTCTCTTTCAGGATCAGTATTACTTCGTATCGGCGAGTAGACTGTTTTGAGGCTGACTCAGCAATATCGAATGAATGTAAACTGGGAAAAGTGGAAGTGTCATCCGCAAAAGAGGGCGTCTAAACAATACATCACCTTGTCAAGGGCGCCTGGCAGGACTGCTTTCAACAATGAAAAATCGCGTCAAATGAATAAAAAACACAAAGCACTGCTTCTGTCCACGTCGATCGTAAGCAGGTTATCCTACCAGTTGTTGTCAGTCTCCTTTAATTGTCGTTGTTACCTACCTATTTAAAGCATGCAACGGTTTAACGCTGCAGATCCTTATTTTGATCATTTGTAACTTTGTATGCGCCTGCTTGCTCCAACATTTTTTCCTGACCTTTAGAACTTCTTTAACTGCGCTCCTTTGGTATAACTTTTTGTTTGAACTTTAGTTATTAGCAACAAGCCAACGTTAACTACCATGCACACAACAAAGGTGAGTCAACTTTTTATGCCAGCTACGGATCATGTGACGTCTTTAAAGCGATACTATTATTACCTTACAATTGCATTCGCCACCTGTTGATCTTTTAAAGGATTTTCTGACTTCGTATTTTTTTCATTTTTTAACAAATTTTGTAAAACTAAAGTGAAAGACCAAGCTTTAATTGTACAACTGCTTTCCGATGCATCTGACTTATTTTCTAAAACTCTTATTTTTGCAGAGCCTTCTGTTCACCGTTACAATGGGCGGCTGCCTCGGCCTGGTCGTTTCCCAGTTCGGCTTCCCAGGACTCGGTCTCGGTTCTGGCCTGGGTGCCGGTCTGGGCGGTTTCGGCGCCGGCGGTATGGGGAACCTCGCCACGCTGGGATTGGCTCCGTTGTCCAACCAGTTCGGAATGGGCGGCATCAACCCTATGGCCAACATCGGCTCCAACGCCGGTTGGGGTCAACCCGTCGCTGTCCAGCCCATGGCCCAGCATCAGGGATGGGGCGCCCCCGTCGTCCAGCCCCAGCTGCAGCCCGTTCAGCTCTACACACCGCAGACCCAGGTCAACCTCCGTCCCGTGCAGTTGATGGTCCCCCAGAACAAGGTCGAACTCAAACCGGTCCAGTTGTTCTCCCAGGTCCAGCCGCAGGTCAACCGCGGATGGGGCAGCCAGAACACCGTCGCTGCCGCGCCCATTATTAATACGGCCCCTGCTGTTGCCCCATCGAGTGCTATTGCAAATGCTGCCGCTCCGGCAGCGGCGATAGTGCCAGCACAAACACCGTCACTTAACTATTTATAAGTTTTTGTTACTGAAAGAAATGTCGTTGTTGCTGACCGGTTCACACATAGTACCTCTTATTAACACATGACTAGCAATAATACCCCAAATGCTAATTTACCTCGTTGTCTTTTCACGGAATTATTGTTTAATTTGGCTGAGAATGTATTGTTTGGCAGTGTGGTCTGACAAGAGTCGGGATAGTTTCAAAAAAAGCCTTGGTCAGGAGCTATGGAATTCAGTTGCAGTAAAATTGTTGCTTGGTTTATAGTAAACATGTCGCTAACCAAAATTTTTAAATAAATTTGATCTTTACCTGCTGAGAAATCGTCTTTTCCGCAAGCAATATGAAGCGAGAAAATCACACAAAAACTGTATGTGAGCGCAGGCGTACATGCGTACACCCTCGCTTTGGCAGTCTGTTGTGTTTTGTTGCACGCCCGCCTACGCGTGGCGAAAGCATAGTGTTCTGCGCGCACCCGCATCATGTGGCGGCTACGTGCGCACTTTTCACGCTTGCTGCAGTCAGCAATGCGGAGTTGTCCACGAGGAAATTCTATCGAATTTAGTCTGGATATAAATTTCTAGCAATCACGCCGTTTCTCGCTTTCTGTAGCGTAGGCGTATTTATAGCATTGCTAGTCTTTTTTGGTAGGCAGAATTCCGTCAATTCTGTTCCTGCGTGAACCTTCATCAGGTCCACGCTCATATGGTAGCAAGAGTCGTGTTTCTCCAGGATAATCTGTGAGTTTTTCCGTCCATCCGACGAGGTGTGGAAGAAGTCTCGCGAGAAAGGGCTCGCGTACGGTCCAGTGGCGAAGGAGGCGTTTGGATCTCGACAGCAGATCAGCACCAGTGTGTCTCTACTGGTAGAGCACGCTGTACTGACCTGACGCGATCAAGGCTACTGGTAGCTCTGATCGGAGGGCACAAGCGCCGAAAAGATCGCCGCAAGAGGCAGAAGCCCGAAGGGGGGGCACGAGTGGGCAAGCCACTTTTGGCTGTCGGGTGTGGAGTTTTCAGGTGCGTCTCTACTGAGTAGAGCGCACATACGCGCGCTCCCCAAAAGGAGGTCGAGCGCCCCTGTCGTTGCTAACGTCAAGGCACGACAGAAGACCCGCAGCCAGCAAGTCTTTTGGTCGACGCACCGCTGCGTCCTGTCGCATCGAGACAGAAGGGGTTAGCGACTGGCCCAGGAGAAGTCAGTATAATCGTTGGAGGAACTGGAGGATTCGCGGGAAGGACGCGCAGGATCGATTCTGGATCACGGAGACGATCAGGTCAGATTTTCGTTTATTAATTTCGCCATTGGCGTAAGGGTAAAATTGCAATTCTGATTGGTCGGTGATGAGCTGAGCAGAAAAGTAGGCGGCACTTTGCACACGGCGCGCTAGCGAAATTTTCGGATTTTGACGTGACGTCACTCTGCCTTATAATTTGAAAACAACTCACCTGATTGGTCGTTTATAAACGCTGTGATTGGCGCAGACGTAAAGCTAAAGTTAAGCAGAAGTAAGCCAATTAGAAGCTGAGATTTCGTAAGGAGGCGGAGTTTTGCGCACGGCACTCAAGATTGACGTAGCTAACCAAGAAAATTTTCTGAACCAACTGACGAGAAGTTGACCTTTACCAAAAATTTTGACGAGATTGATGACCTTTAGCAAAAGCTAAAAGCTGAAGAAATAACGTTCGTTCTGAAATCTAAGTTGATTTCT